TTCTTTTTTTGAAAAAAAAATTATAGTTTGCCTATAGAAGATATTTGATAACTTTAAAATTGCTAAGCGCGCAATGGGTTCTGGTATTGCCTGAGACATTTAAAATATTCCAAACGCAAATAACTTTTTCTAATACTTTTTCTTTGTTTAAATTACTAAAACTACAATAGCTCTTCGATAATTTTAAAAAATATAGAAGGTCACTGAGCTTCCATTTAGAAAAATTTACTTTGTTATCAAGTTTTAGACCTTTTGCAGAAAACTCATTCATTATAACCTTTACTAAATTTTCGCAGTTATCTTCAAAACACTCTGTCTTTAAATCCATTAATAAATTTTAAAAGTTTAAATTATTAAGAACTACAATAAACATAAGCTACATAAAGTTGTAATGCGAAACTTGATTTTTATATTTTGTTATTCCCCAGGCAATCCCACAATGCATAGCGAAAGGTTCTTTTCAATTAGCCTATAAGTAAAAAAAAAAAAAAAACAAATTTGAACTAAAAGCCAATGTCGATGCATCGGCTTGTAACAATTGGCATTGGTCAAAAGTAGAAATCGGTGCATCTTTATTATAAAGGTCTATATTAAGTCTTTTTAAATTTATATAAAGCGTTTGAACTCAATAATTAAACATACTTTAAACGTTTTAAATTGGTTATATATTAATAATATAATTTGTAATAAGCAAAATTTCTTAATCTTACTTAATGAGAGTAGATGAGTTTAAAAAAATAAGATAATAAAGTCGGCAGTAGTCGAGTTAGAATGATATTATTGACGAAAGCAGACGTAAGTATCGGTAAGTTTACAAACATAATAGTTAGGAGCATTCTTCAATACATTAAAGATTCTATATTTTTAGGTATTGTGGTTAATCTTCCTTTGGCTAGTTTTCATATTTAGTTCCAAGATGCTCTGTGACAAGACCGTTAGGTCTTCTTTGGGCTTCTAGGTCTTCTTTTTTTTTCGATTTTAAAAGTAAAAAATAAAAAAACCAAGGACAGCTAAGACGCTCAAGGACCAAGAGTAAATGAGTTTATAAAATAACAGTAAATAAAAGTTAGAAGTAGTCGAATTAGAAAAATAATATAGAAAAAATCGGACAAATGCCTATATTGAATTGTAAAGTTTTACAGATTTTAGATATTGTGGTTTATCCTACTTTCGGCTAGTTGCCATAGTTTGCCAGAAGTACGCTGAGACAAGTTCAGTTCTCTAAAGAGCATCATGACCTGCTCCGACGGTGAGTTGTAGGAAGAACGGAAATAAATTTAAGTAAAAGTCAGAAAAAGTCGTGTTAGAAAGAATAGAGAAAGTGGACATACATTGCATTGGCTGTTACGATGTGCAGTTTATATACAGATTTTATGAAAGGATGTGTTTTTTTTTGTTTTTTTGTTTTTTTGTTGTTGTTTCAGTCTAAAATATTTAAATAGTAAAAGCTTTACATTTTTTCCGTAAACACTTAAATTTCATTATTATTAAAGTCATAAAATAATATGTATACAACATCTAACAAAGTTTTATGTATTTATAACTATATATTTATTTATTTTCAACATATTTCTGTTTGTATAACATTGAAACAATATTTTTTTTTTTATAGTTAGTTTTTTGTAATTTTGGTTTTATTTTTTTTTGTATTTTTTGATTATATATATATATATTTCCCAATGCTTTTAACTCTTGCTAACAAAGGGATTAACTCCTCGTCTCCGTTAATCTCTTTGTTAACATCAAATCGCAAAATCAATTTTTAGTTTTACTTCCTGATAATAGATTTTCTTCAAATTTTGCACACATACTCTTGCTTAATTACAATACAATATTTAATAATTAATTTTACAATAAGTCAATTAATTCAGTTAATCTTGATTAAGTGTATTTTTATATGTGGGAAAAAGAAGACTTTTTATATGCAATTAGCAAAACTTCATGAAAAATAAAATTAACCGCAATTGCTTGTTCGAAATATCTTCGCCTAGGAAGCTCGAGGTCATGAGTTCAAAAGCAATGATCGATAAAATAGTAATAAGAGAAAAAAATTGATTGCAAAATTTGTGTTTTAATAACGCATAAAAGCATTGGGTTTTAAAAACTCGTTTTTAATTTTACTTTTGTGTTTTTTGATTTTATATATTTTGTATTCAAGATTGTTTTGTTTTTTTGTTTTTTTTTCGCCATTGTGTGGTAAGAAACTGAAGGTGGAGAAGAGATTTATAAAGAATATTTTAAAATTAATTTTAGAGCATTCGGTAGGGTAAGATATTTATATAAAAATAATGCATTTGCAGCGCTCACAAAAAAAAATTACTAACGTCAACAAAAAACTTTTTTTTTTTCCATCATACATAAGTTTCATAGATTTTATGTATTAAAGTTTATTTCGTCATGAGGCTACTTGTATTTATTTTACGTCCTAAAAATAAATACAAGGTTTAATCTTAAAAAAAAAAACGTTTAACAAAAATGTCTATTTGACTCGTATATAATAAAACAAGCACCATATAATAAAAGCCACTAGTAAACAAAATCCTTCAATAAAAAGAAAAAAAAAATCAAAAGATTCAATCAATAAAACATCTGTAACAAATTTAACTTTTCATTTTTAAAAATATTGCTCATTTCATTTTTGTGTTGGTCTTGTTTATTCTATTGTATTAGCATAAGCAACTCATTTGTAAATAATTTTTTAATTTTACCCTTACATTTTTTCAATAAATATTGTTTTGTAAAAAGTTTGTTTTGAAATTGATATCTTATTCTGTTATAATAGTCAAAGATGTCAACAATAAGAATTTCAAATAACAAACAGGCCAAAACTTTCTGACCTGCATATTTGTCAAATCCAAATAAAATAAATTGTTTGCGTAAGCGGTAGTGCTAGTCTAAAATATCCAAAAGAAAAAATAGTAGTGGCTGTACTTTATCACATTTGTACATCGTGTGGGCAGAATTTTAAATTTTGTTTCATCTTTTTGTTGAATTTCGCTCGCTTTATTGTTGGTGTTTCTTTTATGAAGATTTAGAAAGAAATGTTTCCAATCATTTTCATTAAAGTTTTTCATACTATCAAATTATGTTTCCCAAATATAATAATTGTTTGGTTTTTTTTTATTGGTTTCTTTAATGAGATTAAAGTTTGGAACATTTTAGGGAACCTTTTAATCATTTTTGTTAAAAAAAGAGAGGTTGATTCAAAATTTATTTAATTTCAATTTAAGGTACACTATAATTTTGTTTTAATTTATATAAATTGACTAATAGCTGAAAGTAAAAAGGAGGTAACAGATTGATCTTTGTATGGATAGTTTTATTATGTGTTTGCTTTGATTCGTATTTCTATTATGGTTTGTAGATTTTAGAAGTATTGTATTTTATTTCGTCATCCAACTAATTGCTATATTGACGCTCTTATAATTTTACAAGGGTACGTAAAATTCCATAAAAAATATAAACTGTTATAAAGTTTACTGTTTATAAAGATGTCCATCGAACAAATTTAGAAGAAAAAATTAACAATAATTTCCTTAAGACTCCGTTGAAGTATGTTTTTAAAACATTAACAATGATTTTGCCTCTTTTTTACCCGTGTGACACAAATATAATATACAATAAGTTAGCATTGCACTATTCTCAACACATTTTTAAAAAAAGTTGTCTTTATTAATAAATTGTCTCTGATATAAAGGAATGGGACTGAAAATGCTATCAAAGTGAAATAAAAACATAAGCTTTTTACTAATGAAAATAAACACTTTAAAAACACTTTTTTAATCTAAGGTCTTTGTATCAGAATTAAATGAATTACTGCTATAGGTTTCTTATTATACTAAATGTATCAATTTTGATTTTAAAAAAAAGTGCTCAATTTTAAAATGTAATTAGATTAATTTGTCCGGAACCACCCTCCAAACATGTGTCCGATACCACCGGTCCGATACACCCGGTCATACCTCATTCACAAATACCAGTTTTAAAACCAGCGATTTAAAGTATTAAACAAATAATTTTTTTAATAAACGTAAAAAAATGCATCTTTAATCAATAAATAGTTGTTAGTTTACATAAAAAATAGGGAAAGTGCGGGCATATGGACCCACAACCGTTTTTTAACATTTCCCTTTGAAAAATGTTATCTAACATTTTTCAAAGGGCAAAAAACATACGACGCGTTAGTAAAACAGTTTTCTTCATTTCGCTTATGTCAAAAAGAGTGCCTGTTACGTTTCTGAGAAGTTGTACATAATAATGTTTATTTCGATAAAAATATTATATTTACATCATATTTTTCCAGACCTTCCTTTTGAGGATTAAGCAATATTTGATTTTAGTGTTAAAGATATGAGTTATCAGCGTTATTTCATCAAGTGAAAATCATTTTTGACATCAACCTAACCTGCTGAGCAAGCTATAAAACTGTATTCTTTCTAAAAACTGTCCTCTGGGGCAGAACCGCATAGACGTGCAGGAGGCACAACCGCATACTTTTGATATTTATAAAAGTTAGGTAGGGGAAGTTGGGGTACAGTGGATCGAGGGGCATAGTGAATAAAAAGCATTTTCTTAAAGATTATAATTTTGTTCATCTTGATAATATAATCATTTTATGTGCTCATATATCAGTCATCTTTATTTATAGTAGTTACCGCTTAATTTTTAACTACCGGTTTATGGTAGATAATTTTTGTTTTTAGCTAACTAAGTAAATAAGTTAATTTTCTTACCGTTTTTATGTTTGTTATGAAGATCATGGTTAAAATAATTTTAAAAGGTGAAGCTTCTAATTTGGATTATTAATATTTATGCTTCCTTTTAGTAGTTTAGCTTTTATATAAACAACACTCATGTTCCAAAATATTGGACTTGAACTTAATTGTATGGTCGGACACAGTGAATTGGGGTACAGTGAATAGGTTGATTCACTATGCCTTATTAATGATCTTAAAGATTAAATTCATGTATTTGTAACTAAAAAACTACATGAAAATGAATTCGTTAGTTTTAAGGTATGAATAATAATATTTAAATACTTTTTTGATATTTTAATATAAATGTTAGCACATGTTATTCACTCTACCCCAGTGCTGGAACACAGTGAATAGCATAGCACAACTGACTATAAACCTTTCTGTGAGCCGTTAGATAATAAATATATTGGTTTTAGTGATTTCTTATAATAAAGGACATATATCTCGATCAGTTCGCCTTGAAAAAAAGAAAATACATATTTTAAATTTTACTTAATTTAAAAAATAAAGAAACCCGATCCACTGTGCCCCAATATCCCCTAATTACGAACAACATTAATTACAGTCGTCAAACTTGAATGCGTTCAAGAAAAAAACTTAGATAGAAATAGTTTTGCTTTGAGATGTTGAAAAATTGGATTTCGTATTTTTTTATTTAATTTTTATAAATGAGTTTTTGATTAAAATATAAAGCTAAGAGTATATCGAATGAGAAAACTCAAACTGTAAATACATAGAATGCCTACACAGCATGTAAACGTAATCAACAAATAATCTGAGCTGTGACAATTTTAAAGAAAATGTACCAAGAAAAGTGTACCCGCAACGATTTTTGTGACGGTGCGGTTGTAACTCACAATGGGGAAAAAACTATTTTTTTTTTTTTTTTTTTTTTAGTTTTTTTTTAGTTTTTTTTTAGGTTTTTTTTTAGTTTATTAGTTTATTTCGCCGTTAAAAATATTTACAAAGTACAACAATATAAAAAGTACAATTGGCTGGAGCAAGAAGAAGGCATAAAATAGCCTTTTCACCGAGCCCCAATATTAACGCAAATAAATATCCGTAATACACAATAATCCGTAATATATAAGCAAAAGTATTTAAAGTATTTTGTTTTATAATGAGTAATTTTTGTGTAATAACAAAAACCGTTTAATTTTTTTCTTTTTTGCATCAATTTAAAGCTGAATGATGTGGTTATTGAAATAAATTGTTAAAAAAACACATTTCGTTTTTATTTTTATATAACATTAATCCAAACGTTAAGGTTATGGAGGTTAATTATGTATAGGTTATGGAGGTAATATTAAAGAGGTTATGCTCTCACTTCCCCTATATTAAAATGTGAATCAAGTATGACTCTTCTGGAGGTGGGAAACAATATCTTGCACTCTCCCCCAATTGCTTCGGCATATTTAAAATCACAAAGCTTTTTTAGTTTAAGCTGTACTTTAAGTGTCCCGCAGTCTGGGGCTATCGTACTCAAAATTTTTAAGCTCACTAATTTTTAGCTTGCGCTAAACTGCAATTACTTTTTAGTGACTTTTATTGAAAACGTTTTTTAAACTTAGCGTCTAATTATCTCATTTCAACATATTCGTTGTATATGGCGCTTATCATATTTTTTCTCTAATAAAAATTTAACTATACTTTTAAAATTTTGTTTTTTGATAAAAGTTTTATTTTCATGATAACTTTTTATCCAATTAAAAT